GACTCAGGCTCAGAACAAGGAGTGTCTTTTGAGAAGGTTCCTTTATCTCTTTCTGATGAGGAGGAGATTGCAATCTGGCGCTTCTCCATTTCCAGGCTGTGATTGGCTGTTTCCATCAGAGTGGGGGGACACGGTGTGGCTTATTTGCATAGTCCAAACACACATTTAGAAAAGTGTCACTAAAGCTTTGCCAATGCATTATTCACTTACCAAACCACAACCAGAATACATCTGGCAATGTTAACGAACACATTAAGCCCAAACATGATGGAAAAACATTGAACTTTCATGCATGCATTAATTTATCCAATAACAGCTGAGTTTGTGAAAGATGTTGCACTGCACGTCGCTGTCACTGAGAATACAGGTGCATCTCAATAAATTAGAATGTTGTGGAAAAGTTATTTATTGAGATGCACCTGTACTTATTTCTCTGAATAAGTATGAGATGTGTGTTGTAGTTTGCATCAGTTTAAGGTTTGAAAACATAGTTATGAATGGATTTGGATGGAACTCTGTGATCTCTCTTTGTTTCACCCACCGCTGCTGCATCCAGAGGTCCTACGGAATTTTTATGGCGGCCACAGGCCAAAACCTGAGGAATCAGTCTGTTGGTGGGTGAAGGGCAGAAACTGCATTTTGACCAATAGGAAGTCCTGTCCTTCCCGGGCTTTGTACCAAAGGTCTTCATCTTGCCCTCTAAGAGGTGTCTGGCTGTTGTCCTGGCATCTTTATCTGATGGCGTTGGACAGTTTGCTTATGTTAGTCCACCCAGATCCAATCAAAATGTAACAAACCTTTGTCCACTATAGTGGTCAGAGAGGGGCCCTGCCATAAACTGGGCCCTGGAATGTGCTGTCCACTACACCTGTGAGAATGCTTAGATCCTCCTCCCAGTTATTTATTGTTCCAGAATCTTGTTTAATATCTAAAGGTGACAGGGCTTTTTAAGTTCTTGGTCCTGCACTCTGGAACTCTACCTTTATCCATCAGATCATCCCCTACTTTATCTACTTTTAAAACATATCTTTTTTCTCTGGCTTTTGCTTAACTTGAAAACACCTTTTTTGTTTTTGTTATGTTTTCTTTGTTTGGTGATGTTTAGTATTATTCTTTTCTCTTTTCCTGTTTTCTTTCTCTTTTTATACAGTTAGGTTTTAAGGATCTTAAATTTTATGTGTTTTAATAATGCTTTTATTTGTTGGTTGATATTTTTATGTTTTGGCTGTGCAGCACCTTGGTCAGCACACGTTGCTCTTAAGGTGCTATACAGTATTTCTCAAACCATTGTATGATGTTTTATATAATTAACACTCAAGGTCAAGGTCAAGTTTATTTAGGGAGTAATTAATGACAGAATTTTCATTTTTGGGTGAACTATCCCTTTAAAGGATGGAGAAACAGGGGCCGGATTTAAGAAAAATGCTTAAGAAGAAATTTCTTCTTAACTGCCACTTTCTTCTTATATTACAACTTATGAAAAAAGTTAACAATATTTTGTATTCCCAACAATTATTCTCTTTCTTGAAGATTGTTCTTAAAACAAAACTTAAGAGGAATTCAAATTCTTAAAATAATCTTCTTAAAAATCTGTAAATACGGTACAGGATGCATTCACTCAAAATGACCATGCATAAATGTTAAGATAAGTGTGTTTGCCTCTCTTTTTCTGTCTGATAATTTCTTGTGTAATCTACTGTATTCATGCACGCCCCTAAAGCATGTCCTAGTTATTTTCCACAAGAAGTAACGTTTCATATTGTATATATACGTAGTAATTTGTCTATCTTAATAAGCTGTTAGTTATTCTGTTTATCCACATACAGACTTGTTAGTTATAGTTAACTAAAACTAGACTTGCTATATAAAACCTAGCATGAGCATAATAAAGCTGACTTTGAGTGAACCTCACTTCCTGTGTCTGTGTCATTCTTTGTCCCTGGTACCAGTGTTCTACTCTGCTCTTCAGTATCCAATTTTATCTAACAATAACTGAATAGAACAGATCGCTGAGACAAGCTCTTTAAATGTAACTGTTCAAAAACATTCAAATGCGAAGCTGAGTGCTAGTCAAGTTGGAAGTGAAGACAATAGTGTGCATGCTTATTATGATTATTACGGTAATCTGCAGGTAGTGCAAACAATCCTTGATGTGCTTTTCATTGGGTTTATCAGTAAATTTTCAGCAAGAACTGCCATTTGTTCAATCAGACAAAGACTGTCATTTTCTTCTTAAGAAAAAAATAAGATGTTCTTAAAAGAATATTTGAAAACTTAAGAATTTTTCAAGAATTGCAACTTATTTCTTAATAGTGTCACGATCAAAAATAAGTGCTAAGACTCACTTGACGTTTTTATTATCGTGAGCGCTTGTATAACGAATGCTTCTGCCTCGACAAAAAAAAAAACCTTCTGGAACTTTTCGCAAAACTCCACCCACACACGAGTGCACAGACTCGTTTTTCTGACAAACAGCCCACCCATAAAACCCCCATTCAAAAGAACACACAACACAGGAACAGAACATACATGCACTTAAATCACACCTGAACAGAATATAACACACTTTTCAGACTTGCTACGATAGTTTTTTTGTGTATCCGGCCCCAGATTCCACTCGCCAGTGTTTGAGTTAGAGGCTAACTATATGTTTAACACAGATATTTAACTTGCCTTCACTCATTTTGAACACAGCGTGCTTGAGAGTTTCGCTCTCCGTCTTTTAAGTGCACTATTTTAATTTCTCTCAACAGCAGACTCAAGGCACCGGAAACTGTAGTGTGAAGTAGGGTTGTGACGGTGAGGAAATTTTCCCACCGGTTAATCGACGTGTGACAACACCGGTAATACCGGTATCACCGTGGGGGCGGGGCGTTCCCTCTTTTCCTCACTTTCCTTCGCTTTTAAATAGCTTAAAAGCGCCGTGCGCATTTTACTTTCACTTTCGAATTAGCGGCAGTTTGGCGTCAATTGCTTGAATGCAACAACAAAATACAACGTCAAACTCACTTTAGCGTATATATAAAACATAGCCTATTTCCAGTTTTGTTAATAAAAGTTCTAAGTAAACATGTATAATATATAACCAAATAAATAAGAAACGTAGAACGTTTATTAGCAAAACGAGTAAGAAAGCTTGGAGGCACGGCATACACCTTGATGTCAAATAAAATAAATAAATGACACAAAGTTTAAATAAAGTAAAAATCAGCAAACAATGTGGAACCAATTAAATAAGAAACGAATGTTTAAAAAAAAACTTCCAAAATCACCTTAGATAAACGGCAAAAGTCAACAGGCTTTTCAAAATCAAAAATATTGCCAAACAGGCGCTTTTGCATCTCGTTTCGAAACTAAATCATCCGCCATCATCTTGTCTGTCTCACCTCACTCTTCTTGTCAGTCAGCTCGACTCACTCTCCTCACTGGATAAATGAAATCTGATCTGAGATGCGACTGTCGTTCGGCACGCTGCATTGAGCAGCCGCGTTCAGTTTTTAACTGTAGTGTCTGTTCTTTTACTGAACTAAATGATTTTTATTTCTATAAAAAATCAAAACGACGGTGGGGGTCGGTGCCGTGGTGGGCAAGTGACGTAACCGGTGTTGCGGCTTAACACCGGTATCACCGTCAACACCGTCTATCGCGGCAAGCCTAGTGTGAAGGCACCCGACTCGCCGTTGCTTAGCAGAGAGCGCTTAGTGTTTCTCTCACACATGCAAAGAGAGGGAGAGCAGGACAGTCTTACTTACCATGTTGAACTGATATGCTACATGTAAATTATATTCTTTGTTGTATTTTCCTGTTAAAATAGTGGAGTATTTGTATTTTAATTGTAAGCAGAAGCCACTTCTGGTTCTCACTGGCTGGTGCTCATTTATATATACATATATTAGCCTGGTGAGTAATCTAAAAAATTGACTAGCCAGTGGTGATTCTATTGTCAAGGTGAGCGTATGAGGTCGCACGGGGTTCATTTCTCACTTTGGACGGATGGATTAAGACACAGCTCAAATGTTGATGTCACTAGTGGGAGTGTCTTATCTCATCAAACTGAACTCTTCTTCTGCTGCTCATTCACTAATAAAAGGTGTTTCTTCATTCACTCCTTTTCCTGTTGATTCTGAAAGGAAACAGAGGCAATGACAGAGATTCAAAAGAGAGAAGATCTGGAGATCAAGTCGTTTCTAAGAAATCAAAATGATTGTCAATAATTTACCATCAAATTACCATTAAAAATAATATGTACAAAATCATTTCAATAACACATTGTCATTAGCACTTCTGACTCATTTTATAAGTTAAATCTTGTTTGAGCACTTGCTCTTTTCTCACAAAATGAACATTATATTTGTGAACTCAGTCATGCACCTTTCAACATGCAAACTTAAATGTGAAGTTCACATTGATCTTTTAACACATTCAAAGATTTACAACTTGCCCATTTCTCTCAGGACAAACACATTTTCATTCACTTACATTCATTTCTGATTATCTGGCAGTTTGTATTCAGATGATTTTGTTGGATATATGAACAGATCAAAGTGTAAAATGGTGTTTGAGCAAGGCAGTGCTAAATAAAAAAAAATTGTTGAAATAATCAATTTACACACTGGACGACAAAACTTTGGAATGACATTTGTTTAAATAAATTACAAAATGCAGAAAATAAAATCAGACTTTTGTCTGATTAATTGAAGAAATAACCAACAGCGTGCATCTAACCAAGTGAAAGGATATCAAATCTGTTCCATCATTCATAAAAGCACCATAAACTGTAGCACGGAGTACAGAGACTACAGTCAAACATTGTGCTGTTGCCTCTAAAACCCCACTAGGGGGCGTCAGCAAACTGTTGAGCAGGTTTAGTGTCAGTTTAGTAATATTCAATATCTCTTCCCTCCATATCTGTGTGACAGAGCCATTCAAGCAAATTACAATGTAACTGAGGTCTCCACGGTGATTGGTTGATAAACTGAGGAGAGGCTATAGCCTCCTCCGTGGATTTTTTTTTTCTTCTAGTGCTGTGGTCAGAATGGCAGAGTTAGGTATAAATGGAGGTCGGAGCCAGCTCCAAATGGGCGGATCAGCTCCAAGCCCAACCTACTTGCGGCGTAGGTCCCTCCCACTTGGAGGTCTCTGGGCTGCAGCGATACATACTTGGAATGGCACACTAGTTTACTGCTTCCTGCCCAGAACAGCAGCGCTAAAACGCAGGATTACAACTGAACTCAGTATAATACCTATCCGTAATATTTTACGGTTTGCAACGGTGAAATTACAATAAAGAATTACACATTCTGATGACATGAAATTAATTATCTTGAGATTTTATTGAAAATAAATTGTAAACTAATTCTTCCATTCCCTTTCATGGGAACTTCGAACTGCGTCCTCTAGGGGTCGCTATGGGGAATGCCTCGTCGTGACCCATGTCTGAAGCATACATTGATAAAACACCAACTCGTTGACCGGCGACAGCCATGACGTCACTACCGGTGCGACTATAGTATAAATAGGCGCCGGGAGCTACACATCATTCTCTTCTTCGTCTTCATTGACTGTTTTGTTTGAAGCGTGCATTTCTGTGGTAAGAGCGATCTCTATTTATCGCATTATGGCAAGCACTAGCAAAGCATTTAATAGAGGACGCAGTGTCTCGTTCCCTACTCAGGGAACCATGGTTACATAAGTAACCTGAGACGTTTTTTTCCACCTCAAAATTTTGAGTAAGCTGTGCCTCCCATGATGAGCCACAACTGGAAGACAGACAGGTCCAGTCAGCAGGAGTCTGGGTCTTTAGTACAAAGCTTTCATCAATCATGTAGTTGACTGTAGGCTAAAGGCCAAAGTATACTTCGGTTTTTACAAGTACAGTGCAAGTGACAAATTCCATCACCAGAATAGCATGCACGTACTGTATGTGCACCATCTGATTTTTGTAACCATTGCACATGCGCATTGACTTGGTTTTGCACTAATCGGTTGTTCCACATGGTGGCGACACTAGCCTGGGCCGTTGTGTTTCACAGTAGAAAATGAAACTAAGGAGACAGAACAACAACAACAACAACAAAATAGTGGAGACTGCAACAACAACAACTTGTGTGAGGGGGTTATGAGAGAGCCGCAACTTTAGTTTAAAAAAAAACATAGAGCAGATGCTGGATAAAGATGAAGCTCTCTAGAGCGCATGTGTCGACCGCCTGCATTCGTGCATGCTATCAAATGGAGTATACTTTGAAAGTCTATGTGTTCGACTGTATGCTAGCATACGCATAAAAAGCTTAAGTATACTTTAGGGTTAAGAGGATGGTAGGACTTAAAACCCACTTTCCACTCAACGGCATGGAAGATTTCATTTCAGTGTGATCAGATTTATGTGGACAAACAGGCTGTTTTGACCTGGTAGTAAATTTCATAACCTTCATCTCTTATTTTGTCGCATTATATCACTTTTTCGGGAGTACCAAGTGCTACGCATAAATACTATTGAATGAACAAACCCTTGTTACATTAAAATATTAAATTAAAAGACAACTACTCACCATGAACTCCAGTATGTTCAGTATTAGTGTTAAGGACTACAAGGCTCTTGCCATACATGTCTCGGACTCTCCCATCAGCACCACGTGGCCCACCAATCGCCTGACTTATGGCAGTGTCTTTAACAACAATGCACCGTTCCCTTTCACCTCTCTCCATCTCTTCTTTTGTGGCATCAGTACCTGGAAACACAACACGATGCAACAAAGCACTAATTACAGTTAACACACTGTGACTTTCTATATATGTGCTTCTGTTATGTGTGTACATTTCAGAGTGCGAGTAAAATCACTTAAAGCAAACTTCTGTAAAGATGCAGAAATCCAACATGAAGACAGAGAAACTGCAATAAAGCTGATAATCAAAACTGTACACCAGCTGGTCTATCGCCCACCCCTACATAAAAGTATTAAAGAAATTGAATAATCAAGTGTGTAACTAAAACACTGTCTTCAATATATGAATCAAATATGAATTGATTCTTATTAATGATCCAAAAAATGATTGTCAAGCACGGTGAGAGATTTTCTCTTTGTCTTTGTGTTTTATTAACATTAATGATATAGACAGCAGCAGATTTATTAGAATGCTGTCCCTTTAAGACAGTGATGCCTAGTGTGATTCTTTCCTGCAAACTGGCTCTTTCAGCCAGATGGATTCAATGAACCGGTTATAAAAATTAAAAAAATTAAAAAACATTCATCATGCAAATGAAAGGTAGCAGAAACACACTTTCATGAACAATCAACGAATATCAACCAAACATACTATAAATTCAGGATGATCAAACAGTTAACATAAGTTGAAGTATAAATCAACTTACTTTCTTCACACTATATACGCACACAACACCACAACTTGAAGAAAGCAAGTCCGTTTGATACACCCACTCCGTTTACTACAAATGCTAATCAACGGCACCTGCTGGAAATAGGCGGAGCGTAGCACCTTTATTTTGCTGCATTGACAGCACGCTCTGACATTGGCTAATCACCAGAATCTCAGAAAATTTACCATAGCCTTTTTAACATGAACCATAGTAAAAATCAGGTTCTTCCATGTTTTAATGTAGGCCTATTTAATAAAACTAGCCAATCATATTTCTAGTATGTTTTGTTTGTTATTAAAGAAACTTTATTAAAATCCTCGGTGATACACACATGCATGCATAACGGCAACTCACTCGTCAGAATCCTCGGCAAACTTCATTATAGTTAGTTGGACCGGATCCTAGGTCTATGGTTGATTTTGAGTCAGATACGACCGAAAAGCTGACTTTCAACTTTGCCTTTCAACTCTCCGTCTGCCTTCAACAAATGGCAAGTTAAACTGATAACTTTAGCCTAAATATTCATAAAATGCATGTTTAAATAAAAGAAAAGGTTGAGATATGCAAATTTGCTGTTTGTGCGCGCACTTCAGGTATATGTCTTAACTGATTTTAAACTTAGTTTTTTGACAATTACTAACCGTTGCCAATTTTAAGATATTTATACACCTCTTAAATGTCTATGTCAGTCAGCCGAGTACTGCATTGAATTCTTCAGTGCATATTGCTCTATTTAACATCAAGCACGTCCCACTGTTTATTTTATCATTCATGCATGTTTCTTTCTCTTAGGTGTATATAACCTTTAAGTAGTACTTACGTATTTCTTGTTCAGAGATCTCCTCTTTATTTGTCAAAGCTGCACATAGAAAAAGAGAAATGAGGAGATTGTAAGTGAGTGATCAGATGAACATGTCAGAAACCCTGAGAAGATACTGTGTGATTCCTCATGTGCTTCTAATAATCACTTCATCGTCTGCATGACTTTCTTAACAATAGACATCCACAGCACTTATTGGTTAATGTTAATTTATATACATTGTAATATCAGTTAAGTGATGTGTCACATCTGTGACATTTTTATATTAGGGTTAAGTTAACTCTATTGTAGCATTTTTCTCTCTCTGTATCAGCTGCAATACTTACACATTTGCTTCAGTCGTTCAGAGATCTTGCCTTCATGTCACAGCAGCACATAGAAACAGAAACGAGATGATTATAAGTGAATGAACAGAATGAAGTTCACTGACCTCTTTTTTTTTTTTTACAGAAACTCTAAATTATTGTGCATTTTCATACATAGTTGTCATGGTTTAGTTCTGTTTAAATTCCATTATAAAAATGCTTGATTGACTAATATTTCTTACATTTTTCTTATTTCAGTCACATTACACTTACATCTTATTTCAAGTATGGTGAATAAAATATAAAGTTTGTTAGCCAATGGTGACTATAGAGGTTAATTTGTCATTTATATTTGTTTTAACATTATAACAGACCAAGGGACAGCAGGACTACGATTTTAGGCCAACTACTGATAAAGTTATATATAGTTTTGTAAGATTAAATAGAAGAACAACAAAACACACGTTCAAACAAAAATATGAACATTGAATATGAAAAATTATATTGTACATTTAAACTTTACTGTAGCACAATAAAGCAAATTTTTTTCTCTGCATCAGTTTTAATACTTACGCAATTCTTTTTCACAGTCCTCCGCTTCATGTCACAGCAGCACATAGAAACAGAGAAATGAGTAGAATATAAATGAACAGATGAACATGACAGAAGATGAGTTAGTTTCTTAATCAGAACATATTTTGAGAAATGTAAGATTACGTCACAATACAGTGAATCCTCCAGACCATCAATGGATGGCTCGTGAAGCAAAAAGCTCCGTGTAAGAAACAAATCCATCATTAAGGACTTTTATCTTTAAACCATAATCAATATATAATGCTTCCTCCAATGAACAAGTCCATCCCCTGTTGTCCTCTCACATCAAAATCCACCAACATATTTGTTTAGAACGGTTTTGTTTGTAAATGTTGCTTGATCTGTGCATATTTCTCTCCTGATTGAAGATGGCCTTTTCATCTGAGAAGGCAATATTACGGATAGAAGTCTCATATTTTAGCTGGAAGCAACAGTTTGAAGTTAAAAACGTCTTGATGTATTTGTTTCTTACAAACACGCAGCTTTCCGCTTCACATGATGTTAATTGATTGACTGGAGTTTTGTGGATTACTTAATTTCCTTCGAAACATCCTTTAAGTTTCATATCTTAAAACATTCGCCTCATTATAAACAAAGCATTTATTCAACCAAGTTCCAAAATTTGTTTGTTTGGATATAGAGCTCAGCAGATGCATTCCAGAAGTGAAAACTCCTTTCTTTTTCACCATAGGGAAATGGATTTTTAACAATAACTGAAAAACCTTGAAAGACAGACCTGTTGTGATGTCTTTTCTGAGTCAATCCTATTGGATTCATTTGGATTTTCAGACTTTCTTTCTGCAGTTTGCAGCATGTTTTCAGCTCCTTTTCAGCATGTGTGCATTCACTGACAATTCAATAGACAATTCTATTTGATTCATTTGGATTTTGAGACTTTCGTTCTGACATTTTTAGCCTTGCACAACCTACACACCAGTAGCTCAACATCCACAGACAACTGCGCCTAAGATAATCAGCTACCACTAGATGGCACTAGCCCCAGCAACATGCCCATTCCTTTCTCTATGATTTTATGAATGGTGCTTCACACTGTCCATGGGGTGCCGTTTCACACCCTTTTATAGAGCCATTTGAGGGGCTATGTAGTGTACACCGTTTCACCTAAAGTCACCAAAATTCATACACATATAGATCTCATCAGCCCATACAGCTTTCATGCTGACAGTCAGTGTTCCACCCAAAAGGAAGTCGGCTATTGTGGGGATTTTGAAAAACACATGCTCTGGAATGTGATATACTTGCCCTGGGTTTTTCATTTGATCACCACCAAACTCTGTCAACATGATCTCAAGACACTGGGGATGCTAAATTACGAAGGAATTTTTGATAACTTGAACGGTTTGGTTGTGGTGAGGTGCTAAACTTATGGGAAAAGGAAGAAAAAGTGAAACAGGAAGTGTGTTATAACTTCAGCATACATTGACTGATTTTGATCAAACTGCAGCTGTTTGTTCTTTGAAGGAGTCTGACCATATTGATGTGAATATTGTGAGTCTCCTTCATAGCGCCACCAACTGGCAACAGGAAGTCAAAATTCTTTAAAATTATATTTTCGTCATATTATACTTACTTCAAAGTTTGTCAGAATAATGTCAAGACACGACCGATGTAAAACTGCAAAGGGAGTTTTGATATATTGAATACTGTTGCCATGGTAACACGTCAAACTTTAATATTCCTCTCAGGTGTTTTGGTGGCACTTAACATGCTTAGAATTTAATGAAACTTGACACAAAACAGTTGTAGACTGTTAGACACTGGCAAAAGCTCATAAATGTGCATGGAGAAGGGGCTCTATAGCACCTCCTTTTGACTAATGGGGGTGGGTGTTACATTTACCTATAGTCACCAAACTTGGTACATATATTGTTCTCAACAAGCCAGACAACATTCTTTTTACTTTACAGTCATTAGCTACGACCAACAGGAAGTCAGCTATTTCGGTTTGAAGGTGGATTTTTTTTTTCTGAAAATTCAAACCAAACTTTGTCAACATGATGCCAAGATATTAAAAATTCTAAATTGCGAAAAGTTTTTGGATATCTAAAATGGTGTTACCATGGCAATTTATTAAAATAATGGCAAAAAATTAAGCAGGAATTGTCTTAGATCTTTAAAGTGCATTGTTCAAACTCCCCAAAACTTTTTACATATGGAGAACAAGTCATTCTGAGGAAACATGCTTAGTTTCAATGAATTTCTGATGCTCTGGAAGCTAACAACAAATTATAAACTATCAGACATTTCAACTGACAGATGAATGCTATAATACTAATGCTGTCCACTAGATGGAAGATAAGAAAAGGATAAGAAATATTTTAAGCCTAATCCTTTTTCTCTCAGTTTCCATTAGTTAGACTGACAAATAAATGCATAGAATCAGTTAATATGTACTGTACTGTCAATGTAGTTGTATATCATTGCTTTACACATTCTTATAAATCATTAAAATCATTTAAAAATTCTTATAGATCATTAAAAGTTTTATATATTCTTCCCTTTCTGTGAGTGTATCTTTTTCACACTCTTGCTATTCTAGAGTAACCCTTTCATTGCTTAAACCCTAAAAACCAGACTGCCAGAGGGTCAAACGCATGTGCCTGCTGTGCACTGTTTTCCTGAAGCGCCCAGGGTGGCAGTGCTTGCAGCTATATTTGTGGTTTATTTGTAAAAAGAGCTACAGTGAGAATTCAACTGCTCGAAGTAGTCTATGGTCCCTAACCCACAAAAAGGATGAACTATTTCTCCTCTACCAAACTATATTGTACTTTTATACTCTACTGTAGCAATTCATGTAAAGCTTATTTTCTCCTGTTGCTTCAGCTGTAATACTTACACATTTGCTTCAGTTGTTCAGAGATCTCAGCTTCATGTCACAGCAGCACATAGACACATAAAAAAGAGGAGATTGAAAGTAAATGAACAGTTCTTCATGTGTAATCACTTCATCATCTGCATTACTTTTTATTAATGTTCAGTAACAATTACAATATTCATTCATCCGATTCATTCATTGGTATATTAATATCATGCAGCGCAATACTGAACAATCACACACTTAATATGCTTGAATAATTAATAATTGCACTAAATCAAACAAGCAGAATTAATGATAAAAAATACTGACAATGAAAAATCCTATTATATATTTATACTCAACAGTTGCACAATAAAGCTAAATTTTCTCTCTCTGTATCAGCTGCAATACTTACATATTTGCTTTAGTCGTTCAGAGATCTTCACTTCATGTCACAGCAGCACATAGAAACACAGAAATTAGGAGATTTTAGGTGAATGAACAGATGAACATGTTAAAAATACTGAGAAGATACTGTGTGATTTCTTCATGAGTTTCAAATAATCTCTTCATCATCTGCATTAATTTATATTAATTATAAGTAACAATTACAGTAATGTTGGAGCAAACCTCTACAGGAAATTGAGGGACAGAGTTGAGAACAACAGTAGTACAGTAATGTTGTATGTGTGAACATTAGTTAAAGACATCGTTAATGTCAATTATTATGAACAATAATTTCCACAGCATTTACAGTGTCATGTAATTTTATATTTAGAACTTTTATAACACATAATTACTGACAATGAAAAATCATATTATACATTTAAACTACTGTAGCACAATAAAGCTTATTTTTCTCTGGCTGTACAAGCTGTAATACTTACATGTTTGATGGTGTTCAGATATCTCAGCTTCATGTGTCATAGTAGCACATCGAAACAGAAATGAGAAAATGATTTTGCAGATGAACATGCAGATACAGTGATTCTTTGAGTGCTTTAACAATCACTTCATCATGTAAATTACTTTTTATTAACGGTATGTTACAGTTTACAGTAATGTTGTATGTTAAAGTCACCATCTTAGACATACATCTGGCGAATCTATGGTCCCTAACCCACAAAAAGGATGAACTATTTCTCCTCTACCAAACTAATAAGGACTTTTTAAACTTTGCTGCTCTGTGTTTCATGAAAACATGGCTGAACGCAGCCATTCCGGACAAGCCTGCTTTGACTGCACTGATTAGATAAGCTCACAGACTCTGTAACATCATACATCAGTTTCTGTGAGGATATGTGCATTTCTACCATGACTCATTTAACCTACAACAATGACAAACCATGGATCACAGCAAAACTCAGACAGCTTCATCAGGCCAAATACTACACCTACAGGAGTGGGGGCAGAATCTCATATAAAAAGTCTGGTGACACAGACAGTACCATGGATTAAGATCTAGAAGACGACTATGCTACACGAGTATCTTCAATAAACTCTTTTCCCCTGACCTTGGTCCGGCTTACTTTTCTTTATGTATTAGAAGCATTCTAATACATTAGCGAGCCACCCAAACCTTTGCTCAGCCAAATACAGCAAAATCTAACAATTTGGCGAGCCAGCCAGGAGATACAGATAAGAAGACATCTCACCAACATCACTGCAACAAGAAGTGAACAGAAGAATCTGGGAGATTCTACAGCTTCAACTAAAGATCAACAGACTGAGTCCGTGGACAGAATTTATTTGAATCATTTGGACTTAGTCTCAGTGATCCTAATTTGGTGTGTAAAACATATCAGCTCTCTTAAAAGAAAAAAATTTTGAAAGAAGCTGACCAATGTTCTTAGTGTAGCACTGTTAATTAAGCTTGATCCTTTCTCTGGAGTTGAGAGAATTGTTAAAGAAACAATTTAGTCTGTTTATTTGGAGACTGTAGAAGCTGTGGCTTGGTCCTTGCTCTTGGTGTCTGTAGGAGTTGTTAAAGAATCAATTTGGTCCTTTCATCTTGAGATTGTAGAAGCAGAGGCTTGGTCCTTTCTCTAAGTATCTGTAGGAATTGTTAAACAATTTCATACATCCAAAGACTGTAGAAGCTGCAGAATACACAATAGTTTGGGACTGATTGCTGCATGAATTTAGGATTCTTGACTTGGTGCTAGTCGGTAGACACTATTTGTGTTGTAGAAATAAGAAATAGTTTGGGACTGATTGCTGCAAGAATTTAGGATTTTTGACTGGGTGCTAGTCGGTAGCTACTATTTGAGTTGTATAAATAAGAAATAGTTTGGGACTGATTGCTGCAAGAATTTAGGATTCTTGACTGGGTGCTAATCAGTAGCCACTATTTGGATTGGGAATAAAGATTCTAACAAGGTTTAAAAAAGAAAAAAGGGATGGCCTAGTGTAGGGAAGTCTGAACTATATATGCTGATCAGGAGATTGTGCTCGCCCCAGGGTGTCAGTAAAAACACGATACAGGATTCAGAACAGTCTGACTTTTTACTGTTTGTATGTGTGGTCTGAAATAAACAATAAATAACATATCACAATAATATAGCTACAACATAAATACATGATATTATACATCTGATACAATTATTAGTGGACTGCAATACTTGCATTTAGCATGTATAACAGGGATTGGCGATTTCTCTGTCTATTATAAAGTGCGGAGTCATCATCATATATGAAAGGGATTACAGAGAATATGATAAATACCAATATCTAAACACTTATTAACTGGTTTATGTTGCACCAAAGCAATAATACATAAGGAATAAAACAAATAAATAACTTTATATGCACAAACTATAATATTTATGGTAACTAGGTCAGCGTGAGTTCGGAGAACTCTGAGGAGACAATAAACTCGGTAATTTATGCTGAATAAAACGGTAACATGGCAGATAACTATATTAAATGGCGCAAAGAAGTAAATAAGACTTAAATTTCCACATGAGCGCACACAAATAGGTAAAATTCCAAGGTTAAGATCAGGAACTCAGGAATACACGTTCATTCTCCTTGCTCCGCTTGCTGACAGGAGGGATCGGAACTTTCTAGCTCGCACCTATCGTCCTTTCCCAACGTCACCAATAAAATGATCTGCGATTGGTTAAATCTCCTTAACACCTAGTGCCAAAATTAAGGAACTATAAGTTAATTTGCCTTTCTTTGAAAGATATGAAAGGAGCACATCAACGCAAATGGAGCAGGGGTGGGAGATATCATTTTGAGAAGAACCGAACCAATTATAATGTGCATTGGACCTCATGAAATGGAAACAAGAGTTTGGCTTGGAGAAATTACACAACCTTTATTGGGGCTTGACACATTGCTGAAATTTATCTCATCACTAACCTTTGAGGATGGCAAGGCAACATGGAATTTGAGGAGGCTTGTAAAAACTGACCTACAACAACACTGTATCTGATCCAAAAATAAAGATGACTGTGGAGTGCTGCAAATGACTCCTGTATCTTTCACTGGGAAACTTTGTTTTCCGGTTTATTGGCTGACAGCTCTCCTGTCCCCATGTTGAGAGAAATCAGGAGTAAGTGCAGAGGTCTTGTGTGCGCTGTGTAATTATGATGCTTACTGTAGTTCTAGACTAAATGTGAACATGCATTTACTCATGTCTCTTGCACAAAAACAGATTCAGTATTCCTCAAAATGAAAAAAAAAGTGAAATACAAACTCAGAATATGACACATCACATTTTATTAACCAATGTCTTTGCTGCTGACCTTCGGTGATTCAATTCAACAATATAACAAAAAATGACTTTAGATAAACAACTTTTGATGTGTTTTTTTCTTTTTGAAGAGTGTTGAACTGTCTTTTCCTGCATCATATTTTTCATGCAATCCAGAATGGCAGCACAACTGAAAGACTCTATCACATGAACTGCTCCGAGATTTATAGGTTGCAGATCCAAGTGTAGCGTTTATTAAAAACAGGGCAAAATCCAAGTACACAGTCCAAGAACAGGCAGAAGGTCAAAACCAGTAAATCCAAAAGATAAACAATTTCAGAGGGCAAGGCAAAAGGATAATCCACAAAACAGGCAAGAGATCCAAAAACCATGAAACAAACAAGACCGAAAGAATTCAGAAAGCAGTGTAACAATGTAAAACCTCAATGACACTGGTAGAGACACTGGTAGAGACAAACACAGCTTACATAGGCAAGACTCTAATGATCCAAATGGAAGCAGGTGCAAACAATCATCTCACATGAGAGAGAGCAATGCAGTCTGGGAAATTGATTTCATAACAGAACGTCCATGAAGGGAGAAGTGCCCTCTAGTGGCTAAAGAGGGCCCACCAGCTGAATACTATGACATTACCCCCCCCCCCCCCACTTTCCGGGGGGGGA